AATTCATTAATAACATTCAAATATTACATTATCTTCCTTGACACATGTTCTTAAATTTCAGAATGCCTCAGAATCACCAAGAAGAGTTTTTTTAAAGAATTTTTTTTTAGTTATAGATGGACACAATACCATTATTTCATTTATTTATGTTTATGTAGTGCTGAGGACCAAACCCAGTGCTTCACATGTGCAAGGCAAGCGCTCTACCACTGAACTACAACCCCAGCCCTAAGAAGAGTTATTAAGACATTGCTGAACCTGACTTCCAGAGTTTCTCATTCAGTATATCTAGGATGAGACCCAAGAGTTTTAGAATGCTAATCAAAAGTTCACAGGTGTCTGATACTGCTAGTCAAAGAACCACCTTTAATAATCTCTATTTTAGAAGTTTAGAGCCAAGTTGTTCCAAAATCATATTACTGTAAAATTCCTTGATTTCCTTATGATCATGTGACAAAAAAGTATATATTAATAGCTGAAACCAAAATAGCCATGATGTTTTCAAACATTATTTTTAAATAAATATATGACATTAGAATTACTATAATGGGAAAATGTGTTTTTACTTAACTCAAACTAAAAGTGATAAAACTCTAACACATTTATTTTGTGCCTTTACTATCACTATACTTAATTAATTAATTGTTTTTAATGGTTCTTTCCCCCTATTTGATTTCCTCCACTTGCTCATAAGGGTAAGCACTGTCCTCCATAGTTGACTAATGTATTCCTAATAACCTAATATAGTACCTTGAAAATATGAATGTTTTAGCTACTGCTAACACAATGTCTAACACATAGGAAGTATTTTTAAGATAATTGTTGAGTTAATAAATTTTAAAATATTGAAGGTCTATTGTTAAAGGTCCATATACTGAGGGTTTAAAAGTTAATTAGCTATAACTTCTACTTTCAACTTCAGACTTAATTAAGGGAACACAAATATATTCAATTTCTCAGAAAGTGAAATGGTAAGTATCTTATAGTAATATTAATAAAAGGCTATGAGAGGACCAGAGACACTGCTCAGTGGTAGAGTGCTTACCTGACATGCACAAGGTCCTAGCAAGGTCCTAGATTCAATCCTCAACACACACACACACACACACACACACACAGAGAGAGAGAGAGAGAGAGAGAGAGAGAGAGAGAGAGAGAGAAGTCTCTGAGAAATAATGAAAGGGCTAATTAAAGCTTCTAGTATGTAGGATGTGGTAGACACCTTCAACAAGGAGATGATAGATCAATATGTAGCTCATCTACTATATCATCACTACTGCCAGTAATCTCAAATATCCATAGGATTCTCTATTAAACCTTATGAAAATAAAAAGTATCCTATTCTAACACAAAATCTGACATGTAAGTCTCAAAAGCCTGCATAAAACAAGATAAGCACTTTTCTGAAATGTTACTATTAGTAGAGGTTTAAAGAAAGTATAGTTTTACTGCCTGTTCTAAGTCTTTCAAAAGAATTCCCATTCAAACAAGGTAGTGAAACAAATTAAATTAAATTACAAATTAAATTAGACTAATAAGGTTTCAGAAAGGATTAAAATCTATGAAATATGTAAGCAATTATTTCAATATTTGTTTAAGTAATGACTAAAAAATGCATAATTTTCAGTAAGTTACAAAAACATTTGTTAGATATCTGAAAATGAACTGACTCATTATATTAAAATGGTTTTCACAAATAATTATGTTGTTAATACAGATCTTTAAATTTTCAAAGTTGATCTAAAAGACAAGTATCAAAAGAATTTTTTTAAAAAAGTTCCAACTTGCTTTCTCATCACCTAAAGAAAAAATAACCTAATAAAGTACCTTGAAAATGTGAATGTTTAGCTAGTCTAAACTAGAGAGACTCAAACTAATTTGTAAAACACTGTGGAGTTCCAATTCACTCATATTCAGTCTCTGGAAATTGTTGATATTGCAATTATCATAAAACTGTAATTATCCATTGGATAAATTTTTTCCTTAGTAGCACCACAAGATGTCACCCTAAGCCTAACATCTAAATGTGTAGTTTCTAGCATACTGCTCAGATACTTGTTTGTTTTGTACACTAGTGAAAATCATTGATTTTCATTGTATCTTTTTCAGTGTCAGTTATTGGTAAGTGGAAAATCAAAATAAATAACATGAAAATTTTATAAGAACGAAGTAAATTAAACAATTCATCATTCTCCTGTTAATCAGAGATCCTATTTACAATTTAAAAAATATTTTAACATTGAGTTTCATATTCTTTCATTTTCTTCATTTTATAAAATACAAAATAAATATATATACCTTTTATAATCAGATAAAATTATATTTTAAAATTGAAAAAAGCATAATATCTTTGCTATGTTATCAAAGAACTCATTTATAGAATGCTTTTACACACTATAATACTGATCACAGTTATGTAGAAAAATTTCTAGTCCTCAAAGATTATACAACCTAAGACACACTAGCTTTTTGGTTTTTTGTCTTTGGTTTTAAAGGACTACAAAAGGGGGATAATATTTATTCGTAGAAGTATTCTTTTTGTCTGTAGAGAAAGAGTTTGGTTTTTCTGGTCACATGTAAATATTATAACACATGCTGTAGTAATTAATAGTGCTTCATTTTACTATGATTACTACACATAGTAATTATAATCTGCATTATGATTCCCTCTATTTAAGCAGTTAGTTGAAATTTATTCAAGGTATTTTTTCACTGTACTGCTTATCTAGATACCAGTCAATGGGTAGAGCCAGTATCTTCCATTACTTGTAACCAAACAAACAAACAAACAAAAAAAACGAGGGTGTTGGTTCAAACAAAAAGCAAACAATAGATGATAAAAAAAAAAACCCTATTTGTCTTGTGGCTCACTCCTTATGCTTTTATAAAGATATGAATCTTTTTCAGGATACACATGATTATATAGCTTTTCTTTAAAGTCTTTAAAGAAAATGTACAGTGAGAGCACTCAAACATTCAATAATAATAAATTAGTAAACAGTATTTAGCTACCCACACAGAATTCAATAGAAAATTATGTTTTGATGTATAGTGCTCTATTCTTTGCACTCTGCTTTATCCCCAAATGACTTTAAAAGACCAGCTAAAGCAAATCTATCCATCCCAAGCTGGGTATTGGGATTACTTACATAACAGCTTTTTACAGATTATATTGTCTCTCATTTTATTAGAAAAATTCAAACTACACTATAGACTTTAAGCCAAGGTACTTATCATTCAGTCAAAATAATGGCAAAATGCAATTCTTTATCACTCATTTGTCTTTTTATTCCCTATGTAATGGTGTTATTAAATGGTTATATGATAAAAAATATCATAGATATAAATATTAGTCCAGCAAATCAGGAGTTGCTGTTCCTAAATAAAGTTCTCAAAAGCTCAAGCTCTCAAAAGATGTAGCCAGTCTTAACTAAACATATTTTATGAACCTATTTAGACACATTGCCTGTTAATGGCCTTTACTAATTATCAATTCGATGATGCTATTAATTTCTAATTGAGAAATTTGTGGTTTAAAAATGTTCTCTAAAATACTGTTCTCTAAAGACAAATGTTTATTTAAATTCTGCAAGACTCCATTTAGAGTTGTTTTTACTTAATACTAGCTAAAATGATTATAGTTATTTGTGTCATTAATTCTTGTCAGCCAAAATAGAATATTTTAAAGAAATTAACCCACAGGCAAAATAACCCTGTAAATCTTTTTACTTCTATTTCTATTCATAAACTGATTTTAATTTTTTTAATATAATGATTTTTTAAATTATAATCATACTATAAAGTTGAGGTTTTATCAAAAGTATAGATATTTATAGTAAAAATAAACTATTTTCAAGATTAAGTCTCATAAATTCCTATTTTTAGATTTTATATCAATAACTATTACTTTGGAAAAGCAATAAAAATGTCTACTACAGTCAGTCATTTCTTTAAAATGTCCTGGGCTGTTACCTAGCATACACAAAGCCCTAGGTTCAATTCCCAACATTGCAAAGAAAAGTAAATAATAAAATAAAATGTACTATGCTGAATGAAATTTTTTAATTGTTTAATTAATTGTTTTTGTTGAGAGAGGCATTTGTCTTTCGCTTGTTTATTTTGTCTCTTGCAATATCATAACAGAAGTTAAACCTATCTGTTTGCATAAGTGCAAAAAAGATCTGTGAATAAAGACATACATAAATAAACCATATCTCTATTTTCTTCACAATATTTAAAAAATAAAAGAGTAAACCTAAGGTTAAACATCATTTGATTGGGTTCATAATGAATTGATAAGAATCTCAAGACACTGCAATTTTCATCAATAAATTTTTCAATCTCATATCATAAACTTTCCTTAGAAAAGCAAGAAAGATAAAGAGAGTTTCTTTTAATTTTTGTTCTAAGAAGAGAGCAAAATTTTGATTCTAACTGACCATAATGTATTTTTGTATTAGATAATCCCTTTCCTTAAGGAAGTCAATTTCTTTCTTAAGTATTTGCTGTCCTCAACTTTTTGCAATAAAACACTCAGGGTTTTTAATCTGTAAAATTTTTATTTCCAAATCTTCATTTGAAATATGTATAAATATATACATATAATTATTTTGTTGTTCCTACTGGGGATTAAATTCATGGGTGCATTACCACTGAACTATGTCCCCAGTTCTTTTTATTTTTTATTTGGAGCAGAATCTCTCTAAGTTGCTAAGAATCAAAGTTGCTAAGGCTGGCCTCAAATCATCCTCTTGCCTCAGCCTCCTGAGTTGCTGGGTCAATATTTATGTTTTTCAATCACCTATCCCTTACATTTTATAACAATTTTTAGGTAAACATTAAATAAGAAAAAAAAAAACAAGCAAACAAATCTTCCCTTCCAGTATTTAGGAAAATCATCCCCATTTGAAATTTGGTTAACATCAGACTCTGTGACCTCATTATTCCAACTATTAAGCCCAATTCTGACCATTAAGATGAATAATTTTTATAATACATACCTAGCAAAGCTTGGAATAAGCTGCTCTTAAATATACTCATCACCTTTTTAACAGCATTTTTCAACAGCTGCTCCTCTGGTTTTCTTAATTTTTTGCAGTATTCTTCCAATAATGATAAGGCTCGGTCAGTATCTGAAAAACATAATTTTAATTTCTGACATATGGCCTTATAAAAATAGTAAGCTAACATTAATCTACTTTATACCAGCGTTCCTAATTTCATGACACAAAATAATTCAATAAAATAATTACATATTCATACACTATTATATGAAATTGATAACCACATTTGACATTTAATGTCAATCGCCCGCTTTTATTTGCTATTGTCTTGTCTTGCGAAAGAATCTACAACTGTAAAACAAAACAAAGAGTTATAATACTGGCCAGATGCTCCATAGTAGATATGATTCTCTTGTAGAGAAAAACTATCTCAAAATTGATGACTTCCTGCAACATAATGTCCAGATTATTTAACATGACATTTGAAACCTCCCTTCTATGATCTGCTTACAGCCTATATTTCAGCTTTATTTTCCACTGTATGTTCCATCTTTTCCCAATGTGCATGCACGCGCGCGAGCACACACGCACACACACACACACACACACACACACACACACACACACACACTTTCTCTACGTTTTCTCACATCTGTGCTTTTCTTTGCTCCTATTAACTCCTTGTACTGGAGTATTCTCTTCAATAGCACTCTTTCTCCCAACAACCATTGTTCTATATTAAAAAGGGGGTTGTTGTCAGCTAGATCTGAGTCTGAAACCTACTTACCAGTAGGTTTGACTTTTATCAAATTACTTAACCTCTTTAAGCTTCACCTTCCTACAGGTATTAGAATTAATTACAACAATGTGTGCACAATGCTTAGCCCCATGTCTAGTATACATAAAGCAATTGATAAGTCAACTGAACACCTACCTTCCCTTAATCCAGACCTCATTCAAATGCTCTCTCATCCATAAAATCATCTTTGATGGTTAAAATTAATCTCTATCTCCTCTTTTTCAAAACCAGTTTGTACACACAAATATAGAAGGCATTCTTAATGTACACCATGTTATAGTAAGACTTCTTGAATAGATGTCTATATCTCTCATGAAAGAAAAATATCCTTGAAAAAAATTACCAGAGCAACACTGTCTTTGCATGTAGTAGATGATGATTGTCTTTGAACTTTAAAAGCCTTCTATCCCGTCCAACTTGACATTTTCAAAAACAGACTAAGTACCAATTATAGCAATAGTTCATATTTACTAAACAGTATATTTCTATGTAAAACATTCCTTTTTCCTAAACCTTCCCATTCTTCTTTCCCAGAGCCTTTCTCAGCTGATGATATTACTTCCTATTTTGTGGAAAATCAGAAGACAACTTCCACAAGCTCCTAACACAGCATGTGTAGATTTAACCCAGAAGTGTATCCATATATTCCATCTTCCCTTCTGTTACTGTGGATCAAATATTTGTGCTTCTATCAAAAGCCAGCTCCTTACATGGGAATAATTTTAAAAAATTCACCACAGGGTGAATTTCTTGGTCAATCACTATGGATGTCCCAATTTTTACACACTGAGGAAATCTCCCTTGTCCATTTTTCTCCATGACCATTTTCTCCATGACCCTTTCTGGAGGATACCCTGCCTTGGAAGCCTATATCCTGTTAGTATAACTAAGGATACTGGGGTTTACCTGTGGGTTTAGGCAATCGCAGACCTAATTTTCCAATTTGGGAGTATTAGATCACACAATTCCTTTAAAATTTGGTCTTACACTAGAAAAGTGTTTGCTGGTGCCTCTTTCAAACTGGACTTCTCACAATAAAAATCCCACCAAGTTATTAAGAAAAAAAAAAAGCCAGCTCCTGTACTTGAGAAGGTATCTAGCCTCTTACCTACTCAAAGACCTTGTTTCATTGTCAATCCTTTTTCTTTTCCATTCAATTATTTCCATTAGCATAAAAATAAACTGAAATAATAGTAACTTTTAAAATGTTCCTTGACTTGTCATTTCTTTTCAACTACAGTCCCCATCCCCATTTCTCTGTTCCCCTTTGTTAGCAGAACTATATGAAGTAATTACTATCCCCACTTCCTTTCATTCTGTTTTGATATCACTCTAATCAGGCTTTCCTATAATTTCACTAAAACAACACTTGTCAATGTTACCTTTAATCTCCATTTTAACAAATCCGAAGGTCAATCCTTGGTCATCTCTCATGACTCATCATTAGTATCTGATGCTATTGTACTCCTGAAAACACTTTCTTCACTAGACCTCTAAGCAACATCTCCTTTTGGATGTGACAGAGCGCAAACTTACCAAAACTGAATTCCTGATCTTATCTATTACCCTCAATCTGCTTCTCCTGCAATGTTTAGCCCATCTTTCCAATCATTCAGGTCCAAATTCTTGGAATCATCATTCATTCTTCTCTTCTAATTCCACAATCTAATCCATCAGTAATCCTGTGCACTTTAACATCAAATTATATGCAAAAATCGCATCACTCCTCACCACCTCCAGTATTCCCACACTGGTCAAAGCCACCAACATCTGCCCCCTACACTATTGCAATAATCTCCTACTAGTCTACATGCTGTCACCTTTGCCATCCCATATTCTTTTTTTTAATGATTCTTCTGTCTACGCATGACAATAATATGTATTATGCTCTGTAGTACAAAATTCTACCTATTATCTATTGGACCAACACAATTTATTGTGTGATTCAATTCGTCTACAGCCTTGACATTTCAGGTCTATATTGATCATTGAACTCTGAGAGAATTTTATTAGCTTTCTATTATTAATAAGGAATGTGTTATAGTTCCTTAAATTTTTGCTTTATATATACATATTTTTTGGCAAAATGGATTTTTTGAATTTTTCCACATTTTTATTGTGCATTACAGTTGTACATATTGATGGGACTTATTGTTACATATGTGTACATGCACACAATATAACAATATAATTTGGCCAATATCACTCATCAGCATTTCCTCACTCCCTCCTTGCCTCTCCCACATTCTTTTTTAAACACAGCAGACAGAAATACCTTTTTAAGTCACAAATCAGATTATATCATTCCTCAACTCAAACCCTTCAGTGACTCCCTGTCCCAACAAAACAAAACTCTCTCTCTGGCCTCAGCTCTTATACCTGTCCTCTTGACCAACCTATTCCAACCATAGTGATTTCTGTTCTTTCTCAAATATCCCAGGAATTCTCATATATCAGAGCCCTTATACTTGCTATTCTGCCTAAAACACTCTTCCCTTAGATATCCAGAGCTTGCTCCTTTACTTCATTCATATCTCTGTTCATATGTCACCTTATAGCAGTGAGGAAAATTTCAAGCTGAATCCCTTAAAAAAAACTCAATTAGCCAATAATAGATGAAGGAAGACATTATATAGTTATTTTTTACCTAAGAAAGTTGGAAATATAAAAAAATGAATGTGCTCTGGAGGTAGATGTGGTTGGGTAAGATCATTTAGGATTGTCTCCCCATAAACATACTAAGTTAAACAGCTAGTCACACATGAAAGTACCTTCATAGGAGCTAAGGAAATTGGATAAGATACAACAAACAAACAAAAAAACACCTATTGAAAAAGGCAGGCAGGAAAGAATCCCAGGGAGCCTGTGCCAACCCTCCCCCAACTCCAAAGAGTTCAAAATGGAAAGAGATGCCTCCTGATTCAGGGTGGGAGAATTAAGTCCATGCCTTAGACTTGAAGCACAGTTCCAGGACTTTCATAGTGAAACCAAGGACTGGCCAGATCCCCATGATCCCCACCACCAGATCAATAGCTATGACATGAGCCACTATAACTACTTTAAGTCAGGAGGCTGACTGCTGCTACATCCCTCCTCCAACCTCCAACTGCAGAGCTGGGAGCAAGATTTCAAACTCTGGGGAGCAAGGATGAAAAGCTAACAGTGTTTTTGTCTTGGAACCCAGTGCCAGGCTCCCTGAAAAAAAAAAAAAAACCAAGCACTTGGTCAAAATTGAAGGTCTTGTGGAGACCTGTGCACAAATTGGGACAGATTTATGTATCAAACTGCATCATTTCCAGCCTTGAAGTGGGCCTGGGGCACATCTGCCCTCTCCCAACTCTATGTAGATCCCTGCAACTGTGAGACTCAGGTGTGTCACAGTTTAGCATTAGCCTTGATGATAAAAGAACTGTCTCTATCACCCATCCTTCAATCTGGTGCAGCACAGCTTTCTCAAGGCCAATGTTCCCAGATGGGGTTCTAGAACTGCTCTACCACCAAAAGAGACCCAAGCTGGGTGGGATGGACTCCTGTATTGGCTTTTATCACCAAGAGCTGCAGTGCTGGTCCTACTGCCCTCTGAAACTGTATAGATCTTTGCACCATAAGGCTAAGGTACAACTCATCTTATTGTGGGTTGTAGGGAGGCCTAGGTGGCCAAGGGACTGCCTTTACTAAAACTATCCCAACCTCAGGCAACATAATGTGGTACAAAACCCTATTTGCTGGGGACAGGAAAGGATAGTAAGCACAAGACTTTACCCTGGACCTTAATGCTTGGTTGGTGAAATCAAATACTAAGCAAAACCTAATAGCCTGCATTCTCAGTTCTACCTATAAATGGAGCCTCTGAAAGTGATCCTTTGCCAGGGGAAGACACATGGCCCCAGTAAATCAGATTTCTATTCCAGGTAGCATCACCTATGGCTGATTGAAGCAGTCTTGGGCGATGAGTCCACCTCAACAATGGAGACTTGAATGGTGAAGGCAGTCCCTTGGTAGTCTTGGTAGGCTGTGGTCTACAAGTATGACACAGCTTGATGGCATTGGTGGCAACAGGTATGACATAGGAACTAAGGTTGGTTCATCCACAAAGGTTCTGCCCAAAGCCAGGCAGAATTCTTCCTGACCATAGGGAAGTAACTGTGGAAAAGGTATCTGGGCCTACCCTGTCTCCAGGAAGAGGTTTATAGGTGCAGATTACTATTTCAAGGCACTCTCCTATTTCTTTCTGAACAATACCTCAACAGTGTATCTGGAACAAACCCAGGGTTGCATTGCTCTATAATGCAAAAATAGTGACGGCATACCAATAGTTACTCCTGGCAAA